TCTCATCTATTTTCTCAGGTCGTGTTGACCCCCGCAAGGTTTCTCTACTTTGATCATTCACAAGAACATGACTTTAATGAACGGGGCTTAAACTGGGCAGAAAAATATACTGACATCAAAAAGACATTTGGATACTCACCGCCTGGCAATCAAAATATTCTTGGTAACGTAGTTTCTTTTCCTTCTACCCTAACATCTACAGACAACTATGGAACCACCATTTCATTGTCACGAGAGCGTATGTAGGATTTCCACCAGGAGGGGAGAAAGTCCCTTCTTTATTCTTAGTGACATTTAGGAGCATAATCAAGTTGTTAAAAATCATTCCTCACCGGTGGAATAAGGAGGGTGGGGTGGGTGACACCTGCATTCCGAGAGCCCTCTTGGCTGCGCCCTTCGGTCCGTGTACGACGAAGATAACTCGACACAAATTAGTTTCACTTTTTAAAATGCCTTTTCGGTATACATTTTCTTATTTTGTTAAAAGCGAATCGTGCTGTAATGAAGAATGGAGAGTCAAGCTGTTATTTGTGGAAACAATCGTTCTTCAAAGTGTTTCCAAGTTCGTTAGCGACAAAAGTGTTGGTCTTTTGAATGCCTCACACGTGCGAGGTAGCTTTTGGCGAAGGTATGCCTGCACGAAGCATGTTTTGGTTAGTGTGCCACGCATGTTTAGTCATAGATGGGATCACATCGGCCCACAGTATTTAGAGAAATTTCAAGAAACAATTAAGTCAGCCTTTGTTTCACTTGCAGGATTAGAAGGAACGATGTGGGGTGAATTGATCCGTACCGCTGACCAGATGCACAGCATGATTTTTCCTCGACTATTGGCTGCGGCTGAACGCGCGTGGCATAAAGGATCTTGGGAAGACCTAAGGGGCGAGGAAAGGCAAAAGCAACTAGATGAAGACTGGGTCAACTTTGCCAACACGCTCGGTCACAGGGAACTGGTTCGACTTGATAAGATGGATGTACCGTACCGCGTACCACCTCCAGTAGCGAGGTTTGTATAAATAAGACTTCTCTTTAAGGTACAGAGGCGTCTACCCAGAGTAGATCTGTACATATGCTTAATGAAATTTGCGCAAAAATTCATGTGGCCCTCTTTATTCGTTTCTAGAGTTGTCTGCAAAGCTGCTTGCAATAAGTTACACGTGACAACTGAGCTGCCTGGCCTTAAAGTTGAATACTCCAAAGATGATGGTCTAACGTGGAATGACGTCAAACCGGAAACGGAAGTGAACGAAAAGATAAAGCTCAGGACCAGGTAGAATTGCTTCTTTGCGTGGTCTTTAGACAAAACTGAGCCACTTTGGCCTTTTTATTCATTTTGTGATCGGCCTCCGAGCGGGTCAGCCCAGAATTGATTTGAAATTTAACAGTGAACTTTTTTTTTTTTGATAATGAAGATCGGCCGACCAAAACCGGTTTAGCAGAGTGATCTACTTAGACCCGTTTAAAAGCTAAATGGAAAAGTTACCACAGTGATGCTGCGTTGATGGTGCCAATTCTGGAGGACCTTACAACACTCTCCTTTCAGTAGATCTCGTTTATCTCGGTTAGCGGAGACACCTTTGTCGTTGCTTCAAGACTGAGCAAGTACCAGCTTGAAAAGAAACACAAATATATTTAGGGTTAGGCATAATCAGCACCGACTGATATGGATGACAGAAGAACTGCCCACGCATTTGAGGAAAACGCACTGAAAGGGAGGAATGAAAAGCAAGAGGCCCGCGATGCAAATCTTGGAAGAGCACAAAACACGGATAGATCGAAGTTGTCCTTATCTGAGCATTTCATAACAATGTAACTTCCTTTTAGGATTCGAACGCAGTTCTTATTGTCTGGCAGTAAAGTCGTCAATAAAGATGTTTGATAACAGTGAACGAAAAACCCACAACTGACGAAACACTCTCGATATTTTAGGGTAGGGAGGGAAGGAAAGTGGAGTACGAAAATCATCGTTCCAGTTTCGTTCGCCTTATTTATCATTGCACAGCTCCTTTTTCTTTACTGATCGTCATGAAGCATCCTAAGGTAAAAGGTGCAAATCTTTCATCTTCATCGTTTGATTGCGGTGTAAAAAATTTATTATATTGGCGTTCCTTGTTCCTTAAAGACTCACATTTATAAAGGCGAGATCAAATTGTAATTTAAAAGTGACGTTTTCCTTCAAATCGTGGATTGTAAATTGAAAAATCTGTCAGATTTCACGCCTAACAAAAATTTGTCCAACTCAGAGGGGCCCTTGAAGATTGGAAGGGCTTGACAAATTTTTGTAGGATGAAAAATCAGCGGCGCACAGGAACTGATGACAGATTTCTGCGCAAAATAAACAAGAATTTGCCCAGTGCGACTGGCCTCATAGGGTACTTCCTCAGTCACGCGAGATAGCCGCTTTCTTAACAGTCACGCAATAATCGTCACGTCAACTTAATTTTTTTTAATTTCAGGAAAAAAAAACTGGCTCGACTCGCACAGTTTTTCTTTAAGTGCGCGGTGTGCTCGAAGTTTTCCTTGCAATTGTTTTTATAGGAATTTTTTACCTTTTCCTTTTCTTTAATAAGTAAAACGCCATTTCGACCGGCCATAATTTAGCAGATGAAATCTTGAGCAGGACAATGCCTCATGCATATTTCAGACCACAACAAAACTTCGCTCTAACAATACTAAGTTTGAAAGGGACTGGGCTTGGTTACTTGCACATCGACACCATGAGGCTTCATGTCTCTCACTGAACCGGGGAATGGACCGAAGGAATCAGTTCTGTAATTGGGCTGCAATATGCCGTCTAGGGTATCAATCCTATCTGTGATGGTCCGAGAATCGAAAGGCGCCTTTAAATGGGTTCCTCGTAAAATCAGGAGATCGATTCTTTTCGTTTTAACCGCAGTTCTGTTTGTCGTGACCGCTAGATATTTCTTCGGAAAAGGTAAGCGATTAGTAAATTACCTAGTAAAGTTGAGAAGCTAGCAAGCAGCCTTAATTGAGAGACACGTATATCCAATTTTCGACAATTTTCCTTCTCAGTGTCATCTTATTTGTAGAAATGTAATATCGCTTACCGCCTCATTTGCATTTTGGGCACTCGAACAAACAAAAACAAATTTGAAGAATCCAAATTCATATCCTTTCTTCCACTAAACGAGTATTCAATTAACATATTTAGCGAAAGTTAAGTAGAAGAAATAGGGAAATTAAGGATTTTATACAAATTTCGTTTTCGTGACAACGTTGAAAACGTTTTAAATCCCTTATTAATGTTTACGTGAGGCTTTATGATGTTGTCGCAGACCTTTTATTTCAAGTTTCTTCCCGTCTGCGTCACGGCAGAGTCCTTGCCGGTAATGTTCACTGTTTTCGGAACTTACAACCTCTTTATATTAGGGGCGGAAACTGAAACCAGCGGGTCTCGCAAAATTTTTATTGCGCGCTTTCAGAATATCGTTTACTTATGTTTACGTTGAGTCTCGGAATCTCTCATTTCTCTTTAAAATCCTCAAAGTTTAAGAGTTGTTCCTCCACCTGAATCATGCAATGTGATCTAGGAAACGATGATGATGGTAGGAGTTGCATGGCTAAAATTATGAAATTTTTAAACGAGGTATCGGCGTCAATACATTCTCTTTGACTTCACAGAGTACGTGGGAACTTCATGAACAAAAGATAAATCAAGACGTATTCGTAATCTTTTCGTTGAAGCCTTTTCAATATTTTGAACTTACAATCGTTGCCGTGCAGACGGAAACACATCACGCATGTCACGCAATTTGTTTTCCTAAGGAGTTACTTTATGCAATGACTGTTCAAAGAGCATTTTTTTAAGCAGAATCCGAAAGTGGCTGTTGATAATAATTCATATTTGGTCATTTATAGTAAATTTGTGAAAGCTAAATGTCTAACTACGAGCGAAAGACCTTATTTAATTACGTGAAAAAAGAAATGATCTGTGAACGAAAGAACGATCTGTGGCTAATACGATTAAAAAAATCACGAGCTTTCGACTGCTTGAACTGCTGTCTTCGACCGGTGAAATGTGAAGGCCTTTCACTATTTTCACCTATTTAAGTAGTTCATTCATCTCATCTTTCAGATCTACTTTCTCTAATATTTCCACTTGTAGTAATCTTTGTTAGGTCACTTTCTTTGTTTATTAGTCAGATTTTGGTTTCATTATCTTATGGGAATATTTTCTACAATGAAAATCAAGAGCTCTATCATGCGTTCACCATGCTAGTTCTTTTGAGTGCCATCAGCTGCTTAGCAGCTAGCAACTAAGAATGGTGTCAATGGGGCACCTGCTGTATTGAAATTTTTTTGTCAAATTCAATAGGTCTTGTAAGTCTCAATAGTTGGTTAACTGTTGTACCTTTCATGCCCTATGGAGCTTTTTTTCAGGCAAAGGGAACAGGTGGAAGAGGTGATTAGCTTAGCAGAGTTGGGGGCTGGATTGGTATTGTATGATGGGAAGAATGCATGAGAAGTAATAGCTTTCATTCCAGGTGTATTTTGTGGTTGATGAGTGTGTAGTATTCTGATGAAGTGCTGTAGGGGTTACACGGGATTGGAAGGATCAAGGAAAGTATACAGCTAAGAGATAAGTCTACTTATTGAAAGGTCACATGGTTAATTGAGAATAAATAAATAGTGAGGGGGAGATGGTAATTTTTCTTCCTTTCTCCAACCCCCCCCTCTGCTCTGTCATGCAGAATGGTAGAGGGACACAATATGAAAGAGAAGTGTAGAAATGTCACCTCATGCTGGTTGACTATAGAAAAATTTTAAGGTTTGCAAGGCAAGAGATTTTTGCATCATAGCCTGTGCACAAGCTCTCTGTGGGGTTACTGCATATCATATTTAGGCTTGTTGGCTTGTTCTTGATTCATAGTCCCCAATCACTTTGTTGAGGAGAGCTTTCCAGTTGTTGGTAGCTTCAGGTTACTCGACATCTGACATGCACTGCACGAAGTCTGTATTATCTGCCTTAAGCTTTAGCTTTGGCAGATAACTCAGACCTCAGTTTTGATAATTTGTGAAATCATAACCCTTAGCTACTCAGATCAATTAATAGAGAGTATTAATGTCAATGCTTGTATATTAACATTTTACTTAGTAAATGTTAAGTAGAATTTTAGTATTGCTATCTTGTTTAGCCCAAAAATTATAACTATTTTTTCAGGCTGATAAAAACATAATATGAACAACATTGATCGTACTTTATATTGTGACTATCCAATAGACTATCAGCAGTATTATGATCTTTTATTCTTAAGTGCATTCCTTCTTATATTTTTTATTTTATTTTTTTTGTATAAAGTCGTCAGTAAGTCAAAGAAAATGTCTCTATCATCACAACATGTTCTTACTGGCACGCAACGCGTGCAAATAGTCGTATCAGATCATGATAAGTGATTTGCAAGTGTAAAATTGCATCTTTTTTCAGGGGTGAAGTTTGTATAATTTACCCCAAAAGTTATTTTCTGAAACAAAGGTTTAACTCCATTCATAGTGAGAATAATGTTCTTATGCGTTACAATACATTATCACTGCGGTGAACCAAGTGTGGCAAGTAAATGAAGCAGCCACGAGAAATTTACATTCAAATTGACGGGTGTGTCTGTGAAATGTGATCTGTTATTGTATTCGTTGTGTTCCTTTGTTCAGACCTGTGCTGCTTCAGGGAAAGCGAAATTGGCAGCAAAAAAGATGATAGTATCTTTGTTTTTATTCATGAGTGGGTTTCTGCATGTAGCTGCAGGTTAGTGAGGCTGCTTATGCATTTTCATTCATCTCTACCTGCCTGCAACTATTCCTGAGACGTGTTTTGTACCGATATTTTCTTTCGGTTAGACTGTAACGCCAACCGTAAAGATAATGCTCAGCAAACACAAATTGGACGGCAATGCTGCAACCTTCCTTTGTGATTCGGTTGCGCATTTCAGAAAGGCTTAACTGTAGGAAATGTTGCCACCAATTTGCATTTTAGTGAACTGATGAACTATTACTGTGACGCGTAGTTGTTAGCGGATATCAATGTGGTGTATGTCGTGTATAGCTTATTGGGATACTGTCATATGATTTTCCTGATGATTTAGGTAGAACATCTGATGGTGAAGTGGAACTGGTTTAGCCCCGAATTTCAATGAGGCGTTATACTTTGTCTAATTCTTCGTTAGTGCATTTCGAAATTTTACATAACTTGATGTGCTAAAATCACCACCACACGTCAGTGAAGCTGTCACTTAGGTTGCTATGTAATCTACAGTTTTCCCAAACATCACGCCAAAAAGGAAAAACAATTAATCTTGTGTGTATTTTAACTGGATAAGTGCTTATTTGAATTTGTTAGCTTTTCCAAAATGCTTTCTTCTGTGCGATTATCCGTAGATATTGGTTTCATTTCGTTTCGTTTTTACTTTAAGTCGGAAGAGTTGCACATTTCACAATGTGATCTGATTAGGATAATTCCACTACTTTTCGATTCTAACCGTCAATTATCAACGATAGGTTTTTTCTGTCCTAGTCTTAAAAAAAAAATATGTATTATTTCTTCTTTTTATCATAACTCTGAGAGGAGAAATTCAGAGCATTTCGTCGCTGTGGGTAAGCTTTGTTTTCTTTGTCATGGATTATTGCGTAATGTTCTCGGTCACGCGAAAGTCGCGATTTCAAGATTATAAGTTTGAGTTTGTGCCAATCTTCGGAATTCATCTCCGATAATTTCCTTCAATGATAAGTCTCTCCTGTCAAAGTCTCGGACAGAAGTGCGTTAAAAACTCGCTTCTGTCAAATTGTAACAGTATGTATGTTTAGTTAGAAAAAAATCCCTTTGCCTGTAAATTGCTACATTTAGTAATGTCAACAGGTATTTCTAACTTTTTCGGTAAAAATCTCATCGTTTTCTATTACAGTCACGTCGCTATTTTTTGCACCCCATCACAAGTCCCCTCGCGCTCGCATTTTCACGTGATGGAACAAACCAAAGGCGTGGGTGCGAAGGAGACTACCCCCTCCCCTCCCGTCCCTCTCCAAGCACAACTTGTTTGCCGTTTTTTTCTTTTCGGAGATCTGTTGCTGGAATTTCCATATAAGATTCACTGAAGCCGATGGTATGGGCTCTTTAATAATTTACCAAGTCGTGGGAGTGTGGGAACTTGCCAGGCTAGTGTGATTAATACATTAAATATTTTCACCTGTTGTGACCAAACACTTTATTATTTTCTTTATTCTAAGGCTCTGCCCAGGGTGAACTCAATCAATTGGCTTCAAACATGGAAATACGGTACGAAGTGCTGAATAACCTGATCAAGGTTCCTAATGGATCAAGTCCCGTATTTCTGGCACAAATAACTCTGACTAACAGAGGGAGTTCACCCATCAAACATGGCAATTGGTCTGTGTACTTCTGTAGTATTCGCATGGTGGAATCACAACATTTGAAGCATAACCCTTTGGGTTATGTAATCCCAGGGGACAGCGGAATCAAATTTACCCATGTTGACGGGTGCCTTACCAAATTCGAGACAACGAGTGACTTTAAGGAGATAACAACCGGCGATTCTCTGACATTCAAATTCAAGGCAGATGCATGGTCCGTTGCGCGTACTGACGTCATGCCAAGTTGGTTCATAACCGCTGAAGGTTTGAGCCCGCGAGTAATTACGAACACAGACGACGAAGAGCTGAATTTTGTTGGAAACTTTGACACCAAAGAAAAATGGAAGCGTTCCACTAAAGATGTATACAACCCGTACACGCCGAAACAACGTTACGAAAAAGACTTTGTTTCGGATTTAAAGAGTGCCCCCTATGACGTCATTCCAACCCCTGTCTCAATCACACTGGATGAAGAGGATGGCGTAACTATTACGTCACAATGGACAGTGTACATTCAAGCAGGTCTAGAGAACGAAGCTGCCCCTCTGAAAGGTATGGTATTCAGGCTCGCACAGTCTTGAATTCTTGAGAAAGAAGTAAAATTTCAAACTATTTCTCGAGACGTGGAAAGGCAAACGTGAGTGATCGTGGTTGAAATTTTTGTTAGTATTGCTCAACTTTCAAGAATCTTTCGTTGCAATTTTCTATAATTTCGAGAACCTATAAATGAGAACCTTTCATAAATTTCATTATTTTTTAGTTTGTTTGTTTGTTTGTTTGTTTTTGAAGACAAGCTCGGTCTCAAGGTCTCAACTTCTACACCAAGAGACACTAAAGCTATCAAACTCCTCAAGGGAGATATTTCTGTGCCTGCAAAAGACGGTCAGCAGTTTCCAAGCCCAGATGAGTCGTACAGTCTCGAAGTAGACTCTTCTAAGGAACTCATCGCCATCACAGGCAAGGGCCCAGCGGGTGTATTCTATGGCGTGCAAACCCTTTTGGCGTTAAGGAACTCAAAAGGCAGGGTCCCTAAAGTGTCCATTAAGGATGCACCAAGGTATTCTTATCGCGGTTTACACTTGGATGTGGGCCGTAATTTTGTAGCTAAGGATCACGTGCTCAAGTTATTGGACACCATGGCGATGTACAAGCTTAACAAGTTTCATTTCCATCTCACTGATGATGAAGGATGGAGACTGGAGATTCCTGGATTCCCCGAACTTACAGAGGTGAAAGATAAATGTGCGATGAAGCTTTTAGTGGCAGCCTACACCTTCTTGCATCTGGGCGGGAGGAAAGGGGAAGGGGGACGATTTAAGTGTATCTTGCAGTCTCGAGTCTAGCACGAGTAACTGATTTGTATTCGTGGGCAACACAAGGGAATGTCATGGTTCCTCTCTTTGCTCAGGAGGTTAAATGAGTCCTGGCAAACCTTCAGAGAAGCCCTGAGGACCAAAATACTCGGTGTTAACCTGCGAGGGATTGGTATCCTATTCTGGTGGAGTTCCAACTTTCTCGGTCACTTGGAATAATTTCCTGGTTAAAAACACCCCTTTAGAAATATCTTAAAAATCTGCTACATACATTAAAATAATGCCGTGTTTATTTCAGTGAAAAAGTCCGCTGCATATGAGATTAGCTGGTATGGCCATAAACCGATTAAAAACCAGAATTTAAATGTATTATAGCTAGTTTTTTATCAACTTTTTGTGTTGTTTTTTCAGGTGGGAGGTCAGCGTTGTTTTGATTTGCAAGGTACCCGGTGCATCTTACCGCAACTCGGCTCAGGTCCCGACTCGTCCAATTCGGGATCAGGCCACTATGGGGTCAACGAATACAAAGAGATACTTGAATACGCAAAATCTCGTCATATTCAGGTCATCCCCGAATTTGATATGCCAGGACACGGAAATGCCGCCATTAAAGCAATGGAGGCACGATATCACAAATTATTAGCCCAGGGAGATAAGGCAGGAGCCGAAAAATATCTCCTATACGACATGAATGACACATCGCAATATCTTTCCGTACAACACTATACAGGCGATGCCATTAATCCCTGCATGGAGTCCACGTACACTTTTGTATCCGATCTAGTTAAAGCTGTCGTTAGCATTCATTACGATACACAGCCGCTGACCATTTTCCACTTCGGCGGAGACGAGGTGGCACATGGTGCTTGGACCAATTCCACCCAGTGTGAGAAACTTGTGCAGAGCCTGGGACTCGCTAAATCTGGAGGTAAAATGGTGGACAAGTTGAAAGAATATTTTGTTCAGCGCGTCTCCAATATAACTGCCGATCACAACCTTGATCTTGCGGGATGGGAAGATGGCCTGATGAGCCATCAAAATGAGCCGTACGATAGGAGGTTGATAAAGAACAATCGAGTGTATGGTTACACATGGAACAATATTTGGGAGTGGGGAAGTGGTAAACGAGCGTATGAACTAGCAAATGCGGGTTATCAGGTAAAGTGATATAATGACAGGGGATACCCCAAACTCGACTATTTCCCCCCCCCCCCCATTTCCTTCATTCGCATTTAAACACCCCAGTTGCAGTCGTTATATGCGATCCTGTCGTTGCGAGAATTTTGGTGCCAGCCAAGCAGTGAAGAAACACACAGTTCTGATGAGAGAGTGAAGGGAAAGTCTGGACTCTCAGGACCCTCCTTTGGGATTCATCATCAGCGCATTTTTATTTAGTGTCCCTAAACTTTATCCGTGGAGTTGATCTTTCCCTTGAACCTGGGCTAAGAGGAAAGCCAAATTTTCTTCATCGCTCTTCTATTTGCAACTGTTGATTGTTCAATTTTGTAGGTGATCATGTCCCAGGCTACTCACTTGTATTTTGACCACCCTTACGAACCTGACCCGGAAGAGCGTGGATTCTACTGGGCGACGCGCTTCACGGACACTCAAAAAACGTTTGGTTTTCTTCCGGATGACTTATATGGGAATATAGAAACTAAGCGTAGCGGTGAACCGCTCACCAAAGAGGAAGTGTGTGAGAATACTGCCGATTGTCCAGACTTGAAGAAAAAAGATAATATTGTAGGTAAGTTTGAACTTTCGAGATTCTTCCTGCCACTTGAAGAGTTTCAATAATAAAAGAGTAAACATTACTCAAGATTTATTCGTTTTTTCCAATGTGGATCTATTTTTGTTGTTTTTGTATGAATTTAGGAATGCAAGGCCATCTGTGGACAGAAACAGTAAGAACCTCCGACCAAATGTACTCCATGATATTTCCTCGTTTGTTGGCACTGGCGGAACGTGCTTGGCATAAAGCATCATGGGAAAGGATCGCTGACAAAAAGGAGAGAGATGCCAAAAGGAAGGAGAACTGGAAAGAGTTTGCGAACAAAGTCGGGTACAGGGAACTGGGTCGACTTGACAAGATGGGGGTGGCTTATCACGTGAAACCGCCTGGAGTACGGTGAGTAGAGAATCCATGCCAACATAATTTGATGGGAGGGAGTTTGAGGTCCGTGTAACTGTGAAAGGTCTGTGTGCGAGGCTATTCTTGTCGAGCATATAGGTACTTCTCGCTCCATGCTTGGTACTGGTAGAGGGCTGAGGAGATATTATCATTGAAATTTTCCAGAAAGAGTTCCTAGCGCTAAGCAATATTAGGTTTTCATAGATTATTGTATTATAAGATGTGAAAAGCAATGAGGTTTAGAATTATAAACTGAGTTTTTCCTTAACTCTTGCTATAGCGTTGACGACGGCAAAGTGGAAATTACAAATGCATTTCCAGGACTTAAATTCCAGTATTCAGTTGATGGCGAATCGTGGAAAAATGTTGAAGATGTTTCCAAATTAGGAGGAAAAATTTATCTACGAACAAGGTGAGATTTCATCTTGCTGATGTTGATATGACAGGGGTGAGGGGTGAGGGGTGAGGGGGGGGGGGATTTTGACAGTAAGGAGGGGGAGGAAGTTTACACGTATCTTAGAATCCTCTCTCAGTTTTGTTCTTGGTATTAATTACCCTCCCCTCTCCTCTTTCGAAATTGAAGGTTATGGAAAAACGGCTGCATAACGTAAAACGTATTCTAAATTTCCGGGAGGATGTTGCTGGTTGTTTTTGTTCTCAGCTGGAACATAAATTTCCATCTTACTTTGCCTCTCATCACTTGTATGTTATTGAAGTTAAGCAAATAATTAATTTTAATCATGTTTTCAATGCTCCTGTTTGATACTTGCAGTTCCGTGGACAGCCGACATCATAGCAGAACAGTTCTGATAAATTTCCCAAATCCTGTGAACTGTTCTCATTTAGTGACTTCGCATCTTTCCATTCTCGTTGGCGTTACCGTAATTGTGCTATTTTGGATGTGGAAGTAGCCATGGAGATCAACTTCTGCCTCATCCCATCCGCAGGAAAAGAACACTCAGAGTATGTCAGAAATTCTTCTTGTGACAATCAACACAACAGTTTTTTTATAGACTAATTACGCCCACTGCATCAAACATTTGGTGTGCGTTTTTATGGAAAGTTATCAACTCTCATTTACTAGAAATAAATATTTTCCCCAGGTGTTCCAGTGATTAATTGAATGCTAGATTATTTGAATTTTAGAAGTATCATATCTCGATCTTGAATGAAACAAGGCGTGAAACTTTATCGGTTGACTAATAATTTCGATACAAAGGAGCCAATAAAATTTAGGGTTATGACAAAATTCATACAATAAACCTATAAAAAATGTCTTTAATCCCAGTGCTGTTATGTATTCTGTGTTTCCTTGCCTTCGTCTTTCTGGTCATTGTCATCACTGTTATTATCATCATTATTGTTATGGTTATCTTTACCGTTGTCGATGCTGTCGGTGTTCAAGTTAGCTTTTTCATTATCGCTATCTTTTTCCCTAATATCTCCAATGTCCTTGCTGGAATTGTTGCTTTCGTCGTTATCGCTGTCACTAGTATCGTTATCATTCACGTTTATGTGATTGTTTTCTGTTTCTTGGTCTCGTTTACTCTCAGGTCTCGGTTTAATTACAGTTTCTACTTTCGTTGTTAGTGTCGGTGGTTCAAACTCAATTTCTCTGCTGACGGTTTTGTTGTCAGGTGATCTGAAAGACAGAAAAACCGAGTGATCCTTAAATTCTCTCCTTGGTAAATAAACTTTGTTTTCAAGCTCGTTCCAAAGTGTGCGATCAAAAGAAGGACACTTCATTACACATGTTTCCACGTAAAAAATATTGATCGTTATTTTCGGACCAAGATACACGCATAGTTCTCCTGAATTTTGTTTAAGGTGTATGTTCCAACAAAGGCATGCAAGCACTTTTCAAGCAGGATATCTAAATATCATGATTTGCACAAGTTGTTCACATTCGGCTCTTTTCGTTAAATTCGGTATCTGTTGATATGTATTGGACACTAATATTGCCATTCTTTTCGGATGATACCAAGCAGTATACTAGCAGTTTCTTCAGAGAAAAAATTCATACCTTGTCCTCAACTTAACTCTCCTGTCAACCTCAGTTTCAAGTGCGACGTCATTCCACGTGACTCCATCGTCTGTAGAATACTCAACACGTAGACCTGGCAGCATAGCTCTGACTTCAAGCTTCTTATCTACAAATCTAGAGTGGGTCACTTGACATCATCTAGTTGCCTTATTATTGATGATAAATCTCCTGTTAATGAGTTTCCACTGATATTACAAGTACTGCGTATTCATTACCACGATAGCTAATGATTGTCAAGTTGTGGATGTACGAGAAAAGCTTTTTTCAAGTCAACGAGTCATTAATGTAATCGTCGAAAATATAAAATTTCAGATCTTCTTAAGATCTGCGATTTCTGGAGTTATCCAACAAAAGCGCAACAAGGGATTTACTCTCGTATAAGAACCATATGCAAGGACGGGTCAAGCGAGTTTTAATTGGAGGGATCTAAACGTTGATTCAGACAACAATACCTTTTTGAGTAGAAAATTGCATCTTGGCCAATCCATGCCCGTCCCCCCTCCCCCCTCCTCCATGGGCCCTCCTTTACTCGTTATTACTTGTCAGACCATTAAAAAGTACCACTCAAAGACGCGTGTCGACTATCCACCCGTTGGAATAATTTTTGTGTCAGACAAGTTAAAAAAAACACAGTTCTGATGGCGAAAGGAGCGGGTGGTCTTGAATTCGGTACCCTTTCTCTGGATCCACTCCTGATGTAGAAGACTCAGTAACAGAGATTAATCTTCTCTCGGGTTTTGCTTAGCCAAAGTCTATTCTTACCTTGCTCCTGGTGGTGTTAAGTGGTATTTAACGTTCATTTTGTCGAGCCGACCCAGCTCTCTATAACCAAGAGAGTTCGCAAACTTCACCCAGTCGCCAGTCCTTTCACGATCTTGTGCCTTCCTGTCGCCTATCGTTTCCCATGGTGCTTTGTGCCAAGCCCGTTCCGCCAACGCAAGAAGACGTGGGAACAACATGTGGAACATGTGATCAGGGGTTCTTATTGTCTCGCCCCAGACTGCTGCCTCGACACCTATGGGATAAACACGGAGAATGATTTGGTATGTTTGAGTCTAGAACTGAGTTAGCGATTGAACATAAGCCCTCCTACCTAAGACATTTCTTCGTCCGTCCACGCAACCCTTCAAGTTAGTACAGTTTTTTATCTGATCGATGTCTTCATAGAGGCTATCTGGCATGTAGTTGAATATTTTGCGAGTGTCTGAATAGGGGGTTGCCCAGTACTTTCCTCTTTCGTCCTGGTTGGGTTCGTAAGGATGATCAAGATAGATGTAATCAGGGTTTGAGAGCACAACCTGAAATGTACCAATAATACATTGGATTAGCTATCTCTGATCTGTGGATGATGAATGATGATTAGTCGTAACATGTGAGATGCAGTTAAAGAAAGCGGGAAATTAAAGCCCGAAAAATGATGTCGAGTCTAGGAGTGAACATGTGCCTCCATGAACATGCTGAGACTGGACTTAGCAAACTGCATCTTGAGATGGGACAAATTTTAGAGCTTCACGAAAAGGAATATCTAGAATATCAAATAAAGAATTTCGTGGTTATACTAAATAAAAACCAATCCAGTTTAAGACTTTCTGAAGTCCTTCATACTGTTTTTTTTCTGCATTTTAAGTGATTCCTTATAGGAAAAACCTTTGAGGATCTTTTTGTCACACCCCTCCTCCCCCTGGATTTTGTTAAGTATCCCTGACAGTTGACACTCCTGGTCGAGGCGTGGCACTGTAAAACGGGAGTGTCTCATTCAACAGCGCAGCACAGTGACCTGCAAGAGCTGAAGCCCAGACCTCTCAAACGAGAGCCAATCGCCTCAGCCAATACGAATTTTTTAATCCTCGATCCGTCGAGCAGTGTCTCCCACTTCGTTTTATTGAACCCCATTCTATAAAAAAAAGCTCCGACTATGAGTTCTTAAAACATTGCAAGAATACGGTTGGAAAAACCGTTAAAAGCAGTCACCTTATATCCGTGATTAGCCATTAAAGACACTTCGTGATTATTTCTTGAAGCTCCAGTTGTGCTCCATGCAAACGAGTATACTTCCTTGTTTAAGAAAAATTCCCGTGGTAATACCGTACGTGTAGTATGCTCGAATAGGTAATCTCCCCAGCCAGCCAAATTAATACCCATTTTTGCCGTGATATTCGAAATACGCTTTAAGAAGTATGCCTTTAACAGCTTGTGCGTCTGAGGGGTACGATATCCAATGTTTAAAATCTTAGCTAGTTTTTCGCACTCTGGTGATTTCTGCCACGCCCCGCCAGGAACTTCATCTCCTCCAAAGTGAAACACGGTCAGCGGTTGAATATCGCTGTGCAAGGTTATTATCATATGTAGGACGTATTCCATTAGGTCGTATGTTGAGTTCAAACAAACAGAAGCGGTTTCGTCGGTGAACGCTTGCACCGAAAAATACCGGGACTCATCTCTGAAATCGTTGAGGAGATACATCGTCGCATCTTTCTCCTTCCCTTCATGTAGCAGTCTGTCATGCCGAGATATCATGCTTTTGATAGCTGCGTGACTGTGACCTGGAAAGTCGAACTCTGGAATAACTTGAATGTGAAGTTGTGTCGCGTGACGGAGAATTTCCCGATAGTCTTCGGTAGAGTAGTGCCCAGTTCCCGAGGTGGTGGTGTCGGGGCCTGAACCGAGTTGAGATAAAATACAAGTCTTTTCTGTCTCGTCATAACATCTTTTACCACCAACCTCAAAGTA